CAAAGAAACAGATCAGTTTCCATCTCGTCGCTCAATGCTGTCCCCAACCATGGATGGAGAGGTGGATATCGATGATATCGTGAACCATAGAGAGCTGCCAGTTCCAAGACCAACAGGCAAGGGACGTCCCCTGAAACCGAAGCTGCAGTACCGCTTTCGGTTTCAGCATCATACTGATCCTAAGGAGGACCGCTGGTTCACCAGGGAGGAACTTATGCAAACCGCTCCACAAGTTGTAGTCCACTATGAGAAATCTCTGCAGAAGGGAAAGCGCCCGATGATTGAAGACTGAGCTTCTCAGAGGACTGTTGAAGCTATGGAGGAGGGAATGCGAGGCCACAGCCTCTATGAGCCCCTTTCAGGCCCTTTTCAGCAGCTCGTCGGCCGCCCTAAGTGAAGGCAGGTTCGACGAGGACCCCAGGGCCTTTGTTTCGGCCACCGCGCAACTAAGGAAATTCAGGCAGTTGCGCAGCGCCAGTTGGTTGGAGGAATCCACGCCCTGGGCAGCATGTTTGAATGTATCGAAGGCCGGCCCAGGGCTGGATACAGGATGTGGGCCTAACACAGTTCGTTGACAGTTGGGCGCAAGCAACCACTATAGGCCCAGGGCCTGAGTTGGGTGGACTGGGCCTCAGCCTACCGGGGCCTACCGGAAGCTTCTTGGGAAAGGCCCAGCGCAGCCTGGGAGAGCAAGCAAGCAGGCCACTTCCATATAGCAAAGGGCCTGCCTCCTCATTTGGGATTCGGGTGCTGGTTGCATGTTGCGCAAGCGCTGCTGCGCTGAAGCTCGCTGGCACTCACGCGCTCACGGGCGAGCAGGAAGGAGCAGGCAGCCATAGCCGAGCTGCGCTTCTGTAAGCTGGGTGTGGTGCAGGGTGGTCCTTGGGTGCAAGTGGCATTTGTGTGTTGAGGAACGAGGTTGTGAGTGAGGCGAGAGACATACCTGGTGCTGGAAGCGTGCGACATTGGTCCCTGTATGCCCGTACTTCGGGAAAACTGTTGACGTAATCTTCGACATTTGAGTCTAGGCTAGATAGGATCTGCCATCTGTAGTCTGGGCGCCGAGGGCCATATAGGATATCAACATTGGTTCTTCATTGATGATGATGATGAGACTTTACCAGCATTGTCAATTATGAGCTCTTGGTGTGTTCTTATTTGGTGAAACTCGTGATGCAATTCTGTTGTTGGTTCGAGGTCACAACTATCTGGTCTTGTGTATATGATGCTGTTTGATTGCTTAAGTTCGCTATTGCTCATCTTACTTGCACAATAGCAAAGTCCCAAAAATAGTCCCTTGCCGAGTGTCCAAAAAATGTTTGTCCCAGAATGTCGAATCAGATCGTGGGCAATGTGCCCAACATAACCTCTGCTTGTATTCCCTACCGATGATCTCTCTCACTCTCATAGATGAAGAAGAAGGAGAAAGGAGAGAGAGAGGTGGAGGAGGAAGAAGAAGAAGATGACGTCCTCCTTGCTCACGTGCAGGTAGCTGTCACCATACTGACTGTGGTCGTCGTCGTGTGCAGGTACCGTGCGGAGCCCAGCTATGGCGCCAGGTAAGTTCATCGCTTGCAGGTAAGGCCTCCGCCTCTCTCCACTACCTACTCTGCTACTCCCTACTTCGTAGCTTGGCGCAGAATAACGCTGCTTCAACCAGCAGCTTGTCGCTCCAGAAGTGAGCTACTCAAATTGTCCCTCCCCAGCCGCTGCCCAACTATTTGTAGTGCTGGGCCGGCTGGGCCTACCTGATGTTGGCCTCAGAAAACGGCCCAGTTGGTCTGGGTCCCCACCAGACATCCAGACCGTGTCGCTGATGCAGCAAGGCGTAGAAATGCGCCTGGCCTAAAAACGGCCCGGTACCTGTGCACCTAGCCCAAGGCGTCGCCTTGGGACCTGCAGGACCGAAACGACGCCTGCTTGGTGCCAAAATGCGTCTGGCCTCGTTTCGGGCCTGCCTCCGGTGTACCCAGTCCCAAGGTCCGGCCTTGGGGCTGCAAGTCCGAAACGGCACCTGACAGACAAGGTAAGACAACACACACACACAGAAAGGTAAGTAAACTAAACCTATTCTAACTAGTGTGCTACCTAAGGCCTGAAGGGCCGCCGTGGGCCTCCAGGGCGCGTGCTGTATGGTATGCGGCCTGGGGCCCCCTCAGCAACCGCCGAGCCCCTCAAATGGGGCCCGTGTGCAGGTGCAGCATGCAACACCCCCCCATCCTTATGAAGTCAAGCCGGGTCGAGGGCGAAGCTGACGATCTGAAGGTGGAACTTGGACACGGGTGCGGCGTGGAGCCGAAGATGCCGGCTTGCCTTGCAACTTGCGTTCGTAGCGTGCGAGGACGTTGGGAGCTGTTGCTTGAAGTTCCGCATGGGTCAACCATCGGTCAGCTCTATGGGTGCAATATGCAAAATGGATCAAGAATTCAGTTAGCCTGTTGCCGTAACGTCGCTGGGATATGATGTCGCCAACCTCTTGGAAATCGTCCATCGAGGCTGGGTCTTGTGATCGTCGCCCGGGAAAGACCGGGTTGACGGAGAAGTGGGCGGGCACCTGAATGATGCATGAAGGTCCTTCGTGTGCGTTCCCAGCGGGTGCCACGATCGGCCAGGGCCCCATCCATTTCGGAAGGAGCTTGCAAGAGATATCTTGTTCGAGGCTGAATTCCACAGCGGAAACCCATACGAGGTCGCCGACCCGGAACGGACAAGGAAGACGATGGCGGTTGGCCTGTTGGCACATGCGTTGCTGCGTCTTTGACATCTGGTCGCGTGCCTTGACAAGAAGCTCTTGCATCCGACGAATGAAGAGAAGACGCTCGTCGATCTCGGCCGCCCGTGGGATGATTGTGTCCAACGGAGAATTGACCGGCGAGCCATGCTCGAACTCAAAGGGCGACATCCCGATAGTCGGATGGATGGACGAGTTGTATGCCAACTCGATATCCGGCACCCGCTCGACCCAATCCTTTTGGTCGGGACAGATGAGAAAGCGAAGAAGGACCTGTGCGATCTAATGTGCCCTCTCCGTTTGGCCATCGGTTTAGGGGTGGCGAGCCGAACTCGGCTTGAGGGATGAGCCCCATCGTTTGATGAGCGCCAACCAAAAATCGGACATGAACCGAGTGTCGCGGTCGCAGACGATTTCCTTGGGGTAACCCTTGGTTCGAATCCAACCGGCGTAGAGAACCTCAGCCAACTCCAGTGCCTTGGCGTGATAGCGGCAAGGCAAAAACATGGCAAACTTGGTGAGTTGGTTAACCACCGTGAGATTCCCATCCATTCCTGTCTTGTGCCTGGGGAACGGCCCGGTAATGTCCATGGCAATCGCTTCCCTTCGGCGCAAGGGGACCAGTAATGGTCGCAATTCGCCGTACGGACGATGATTGTGGGATTTACAACATCGGCAAACGTCGCATGACTCGCAATAGCGTGTGACGTCGTCGAGAAGACCGGGCCACCAAAAACGCTCGCGGAGTTGGCCAATCGTGCGATCGACTCCAAAGTGTCCGGTGGCGGGGGCGTCGTGGAACTCGCCAAGAAGCCTTGTGCGCAAGTGTGAATCTTGTGGCACACAAAGTAGATCCTTCCCCCGCGAGTGAACGAGCAAGTATCCCTCTCGGATCCGATAGTGCGAAGGCGCCGGATTGGGAGAGGAACAATTTTGTCGCGAAGTTCGGGGTCGGCTTTATAGCCACGGATGAAACTGTCCCGCAAGTCATCCTCTATCTCGAAGGTCGAGTAGACGGCGGTGCAGTGATCCGAACGCTGTGAAAGAGCATCCGCGAAACAGTTTGACTTCCCCAGAATATGATCAGGAAAGAAGTCGAACTGGTCGATGAACGCCATCCAACGGTCGATCGTGTTGTTGACGGTGTCTTGGGTCTTGTAAAAGACCAACGGATTGTTGTCCGTTACCCATCGGAATTGGCGTCGACCAAGGAGGAAGTCTATGTTACCGCGCGTTCATTGAACACGCGTTCCGCGTTCAGTTTATGAACGCTGTGAACGCGCGTTCACTGAACGCCCCTGAACGTGATTGACGCGTTCGCGCAGGGGGCTGTCGGGGCTGGGGGGGTGCCTCGGAGGCCACGGGAGCGTCGGCGGTGTTTAGGGGAGCCTGTGGGGAGGTCGTAGTCCCGAAAAAAAAAAAAAGGCCCCGCGTTTCGTCGCGGGGCGATATATAGCGGGGGCAGCATTCGCACGCGACACAGTCGTGCAGTGCGCGTCAAGCATTCCCCATGTTCACTTGGAGAAGTGCTGCACATGCACTGCGAACGAGTGAACGCACGCACGAGCGCGCGCGCGCGCACGAGAGAGAGAGAGAGAGAGAGAGAGAGAGAGAGAGAGAGAGAGAGAGAGAGAGAGAGAGAGAGAGAGAGAGAGAGA